GTGTCAAACACTTGTTAGATGCAAATTTTCTAACAAAATACATAAAGAGAAAATAGTTTTTTTTTAATGGTGAAATGTAGTTAAATACTGCTGGTCACCCTACCTAGATAAGCTTGTTTTGGTAATCTTTCAAAGTAAGATCTTTCATGTGATATCAAACGAGCTAACTCTTTTATGGTGGTTACGTTTTATTTTCATTTCACCATAGAACAGGATCTAGCAATGTAGTGTCTAATACCTGATTTGTCTTAAGAGGTGGGACTAAGAGACTTTTAAATAAAAGCATGTGGTTTTCTCAACTCTCATTTAGGAAAAGCTTCATAATAGCTAGTAATAACTGACTTCAAATCCCTGCTCTCTCGGGCTGAAGTGTGCTTGGCGTGTTTCCCAAAGGGTCGTGGCAGAGAACACTTGTTCTACAATATCCATCCTCTTTTCCATCTTCAGTACTGGGACCCAGGTGTGATGTAGGCACATGGCCATTCTGAGTGAAGTCTACATTTCCTAACCTTCCTTGTGCCTGGATGTGCTGGTGTGGTAAGTTCCACAAGCTCAGATACAGGCAATTTCTGGGAATCAGCTGGGACATCTGTGATTGTGGGCCCATCATACCAGTCTAGGGTAGCTTGCGTTTATGATTAAGAGAAATATATTTTTACCTTGTTTAAGCTTACACTTATTTTGAGTTTTCTGGGACTGGAGCTACCCAAATGCTGACTAATGCAGAGGCTCTGTAAATATCAAGCTCATAGGAGAAACCGATGTGTATGACAACAGTTGAAAATATCACTTGAAAATACCAGGAAGAATGAAGGCCTAACTTCATGTTGTGCAAGTGGTCAGGGGAATTATCATCTGATGAGGTCACTTGAGGAGGATAAGATGTCTTTGTAGACCATAATAACTAAGCTTATTGGAGGAAACCCAAGAAAAATACGTTCTCTCTCATTATGTGCTTCTGCTCCAATCTGAACCTGCATCCTACAAGTCTCTTGTGAAACACTCTCTTGGAAGGAATTGGAGCTTAGAGAGGAGCTGAGATTTATGATAATTTTATTATAAAATTTATTATTTTAATACATTCTGAAAAGATTAGGGGAAATATCAGATTCAGATATTTACCTCAAATTCATTATTTATCTTTCCATATTCTGTCGTTCATAAAGTGGCAGGACATTTTACTTTTATAGAAGATTTTGGATTCCATAGGGCAGATTTTTTATTGTCTTTGAAACCACTTTCAAAGAATAAAACTGCACTGAATTCACATAGGTTTACACACTTGTTGATGGGGTTGACAAAAATTTTATTGTATTGATTTTGTGCGTACTATATTATACCCATTGAATATTATTAAAATTTAATTTTCTTGGGCTGGGGATTTAGCTCAATGGCAGAGGACCTGCTGCCTGACAAGGGTAAGGTCCTGAGTTCGATCCCTGGTGTAAAAAAAAAATTTAATTTTCTCTTTGCTTTAGAACTAGGATATTTTCTTTCTTTGTAATAAGTATAAAACATGGGGTTAATTTAATTTGTGTTTATATTTACAAGAACAAATACTATTAGTCAATTTATAATCTGTGAGCAGAAAAATCAGTTCAAAAGGTTTTTAAGAAAAACTCAATGAGAGATTAAAAGAAATCAACATTTGCTCCCAAACAGGAAAAAACAGTTTTGGGCAAATTAGTTATTTCATGTAGTTATTAAAGTATTCTTTTAAAATATAGTAATTATGAATATTTCCATTTTCTTACATTCTGCTTTAGTTGAAACCTAAGGCCTGTAGGAGTGGAGCCTGGTTCCTGCATAAGAAAAAAATTCTAGTCTTGTCCTTAATGCTACAATAGTGAGTCTTCCATGTCTAATTTAGAGAACTCAGGCTCTAACTTATTTTCTAACTTACTGATTATTATTGAACAAGCAATAAAAGGCAAGAAATAAGTATGTTGACATTAAAAATAAAGCCACAGAAGTCAAATTTTGGTTAGATATTATGTAAAGTGTCATTATAGTACTTAAAAAAACTTCCTACTTATTTTATTCCAGCTAGGATAAAAACATACAGTACAGGGCTGGGGATTTAGCTCAGTGGCACTGCGCCTGCCTGGTAAGCACAAGGTCCTGAGTTAGATTATTGGTTTCAGAAAAAAAACCCACAAAGCAGAAGAAAAATTGGTCTTAAAGTATTTCATTTTTTTAAAAGTTCCTTTTACACCTAAGGTGAATTCACACAGATAGAGGGTTTTAGAGGATGGAATTGGTGACAGGGGCATTGACGATTGTATGCATGACTGTTCAGGTGTTGCATTCCTGCTCCTTAATATAGAAACTGGGCTGTATCAGAGTATCAGAGCTCTAACCATTGCTTATCTGCAGAGGCCCTCATTTTAGATTTGCAAAGTTAAACACAAGGGTGCGTTACGATTTGAAGCCTATCACTTCTGTCCAAAGGAAAAGGTCTCGGTATTATTCTGAGTATAGAAATAGAAATGTTGGGTGACGGACTGATTTCATGCTCTCAGTGTCACTCTCCCCTCCTTTCTCTTTTAATTTTGGTAAAATTTTTAAGGGCATCCTTTAAGCAGAGTTAAATGGCAGCAGAGCTGCCAGGCTGCGGGTGTCAGAGGTGGATGCTTAGCCCAACTGCTACCAAAGCACCATCCTTCCTGCATTTGCCTTTACTTCACTCTTGCGGAAGAACAGAGTTCAAGGTGACCAAGGCCAAGGCCATCCCGTCCCTTGGCTCTGAGAATCTGACAGATGGAAAGTGATGGGAGAACACAAGTCCGCTGGGAAGCGACGGAGGATGACAGGCAGCAAACTGACCCTTTCCAGTGGGTTGATTCTCAAGCTGACTCCCACCTTTTAAAAAGAAACTAATGATTCTTTGTGATTATGATGTAAATTCTGGTCTGTTTTCCTCCTCAACTTGGGTATGTCTGCTATGCAGATGTATTTTCTAAATTTTTGGACAGAGGCCACGCTAATGATGTTAAAAGTTAGCAATCGATATTTACGTATCATTTTAGATCTTGTAAGATGGCACGGGCATAAATGAGGACATCTAATTATGTTCACTTAAAGACATGCAGCAGACCACACTCATGATGCAGTTACCTTTAAGTTTGGTGAACTGATCTCCTGTTGATAAGAGTATTTAGGGAGGAGAGGAGGTGAGTAGGGCTGGGTAGGCTGGGAAAGTGTGGAGACCAGGTCAGAAACAGAGGCCCAGGGAGCATGAAATGGAGGGGAGGAAAGCAGACAGCTGGGCAAAGGCGTAGTCATTGGATCTCTTGGAGAAAACGAAGATTGCTTCAATATTGAGGAAAGACAAGACGTGATTACCCTTGTGTCCAGAATGAGGTTACATGGTCTTTAGAGGCTTTCCTCTAAACTGAAATAATTTTAAAGTTATCAAATACTTCATGACAAACTCTTGCTTTTTCTTTTGAATTTGATTCATAAGGCCAAATGGGTATAATCAGTTTAATTTTTGGGATTTGGTTTGCAGGAGGCAAGAACATTTGTATTCTATAGTTTTCTAATATATTTATAGAAGAGCTCCTCCTAAATGTGAAGGCAGGACTGGACCTAAAATGCTGTGATGACTCTTTGTAACTTGACTGTAGGTTTCAAACTGAATAGTTTGTTACCAAGCTGGAGAAGTTCTGACCTCTATGTGTAGGGTGTAGACTAGTAAATGAGAAGCTCGTTCAATGAGTCTGCACCACGCCCAGGGGCTATCTGCTACAGGCAGATGGCATTTCCTGTGAATCAAACCACATATCTGATCACATCCTAGAAAGTATTATATTACAGGGAAAACCAGGTGTTGAAATAATTCACTTAGAATGGAACTGGGCTTTACTGCAATGAATTATCTGCGATTAAGTAGGGTGCTCGTTTTATACAAATGTAGGCATGGCTGGGTTATTTGGAAGTACGAGAACCGTGGAGAAAAACAACTTACATAGTGGCATAAGATGAACCATTCCCTTTATATCATAATTTCAATCCGTGTAAGTAATTACATTCAATTTCTTAAAATTTTATTTATTTATTTATTTTGGTACTAGGGATTGAACTTGGGACCTTGTGCTTGCGAGGCAGGTGACGGAACCACTGAGCTAAATCCCTGGTCCCTATACTTGATTTTTAATTCACAGGTACATACTTAAGACACCAAGTTTTCATTTTTGGTTTTTTTTTTTTGAAAGAAATCTACAGGCTAAAGGTTCAGGGTATATTTTTTCTTTTGTTCATTAAAACCATGGTCCAAGGTCCTTTGTTTGAAAGATGAAGATGGAGGACCCAAAGCTTAAGTAGTTAAAAACTTGAAGTCAATGATTTCTTTAGAACAGAAAAAAGGGATTAGAATAGTATATTTTTCTTTTTTGTTTTGACAAAGTCCCATTAGATCAAAGACATGGTGTATTTTTTTTTCTTTTATACTGGAACTGGACTGATCTGTCTATATATGAATTTTCTCTTCTCTAAAGTGGCGATAATAATATTTCCCACCTCACTGGACTTTGTAAATTAAAGATGCTGAGTTCTTAGAATAGTGCCTGATACTCCATAAGAGTCATCCATTAGCTATTATTAATATTAGAAAGAGGGCCAGGGATTTAGCTCAGTGGTTCCACTTCCTGCCTCACAAGTGCAAGGACCCGAGTTCTATCCCCAGTACCAAAAAACAAAACAAAATATTGGAAAACTGGAGAGAGTATATAAATTATGAAGCTTTTAAAATGTGAGTTTGCAGTCAGAAAGAAATGATGGATAAAGGGATTATTTCATATATAGTATTTACATCGCTTTTTAAAAAATATGGTATGTTTTCATATATCCCTCTACCTCTGACTTATAAAATGCTAATTTTTCTTGTAAGGAAACATTTTAAGGCAGTGTTAAGAGAGATGTTATTAACATGATTAACTATCCTAGTTAATTGCAGTCAGACTGGTTAGTTCTTCAGCAATTAGGCCAAACCGAAATACCTCATTACTGTTTTCTGCCGCAGTGCTGTCTTCCTTAGAGATGCTGGGATCTGTGGGGGTGCCTACTGGATATGTAAAGCAGACAGGATTCTCCTCTTCTTTCTCCTCTTCAATGTGCAGTTCTGGTGTCACCTCTCTACCACCATGGCCACACCACAAGGCATCTTGTTCTTGAGATTCTGGCTGCCATCTCTGGATGCCTGACAGGACTCCCTCACTGCTTTCCTCATCTTCCTCCCCAATGACAGGGAGGGTTATAGGCAAGGGACCCACACTGCTGTATGCAGAGGCAACAAATTTATCACCTAGCACTTCAAGAACCTTTGTAGGGTCTGAAAAGCCCTGTCTCATCTTTTTCAAATCTGTAAACTTGTTTTGAGTGGTCTCTATGGGATCCTGAGGTGGCCTTGCATTGTAAGGCTGGGCTGTGGCCGAGGTCATAATTGGGTGGGAGAAAGGTAGCAGAGAGTGAGATAATCCTGCAGGTACAGATGTTGGAGGCAACAGGAGGAGAGCAGAAGGCTCTTCCTTAATTTCAAGAACGGTCTCCTCTAGGACAATTGGTTTGGCTTGGTTGGCTGACAAGGTTAAAGCACTCAATTTCCCTAATTCATCCAAGAAGTTGTCCAGAAAAGAAGATGGCTTTGGGGTCAAACTGTTTGCTGGTGAACACCCATTTGTCAGGGACAGCCACTTCTGGGCCCTTCCCTGGAAGGCTCCTCCATCTGAACCACATGACATTTTATGGGTGGAAGGAAAGGCTGTTTCACTGGAAGCCAACTTAGAAAGGAGAAAGGGTTGTGAAGTTGGGAGAATGAACAAAGAAAATAATAATAATTGTCAAAACACAGAGACAGAGAAATACAGGAAAAGGGTGGTAGTGAACATAAAAGTTAATTTATGTTGAAGCATAGACATAGATTTGAAGATATTTGGAAGAGATGTAGAGTAGAATAAATTTTGTTGAAATTTAAATACATAAATTAAATTATGCTAATTTAAAGTTACTTAGCAAAATTCTACTAGTTTTGGAAGAGGTTAAGTGTTCTATGAGAAGATAGAGATTATGAAGACAAACTGAAATCTTAGAGATTTAATTTAATAATTATCTCTTTTAGTATGAAAGATATTGGCAGCTTTCCAGCTGATAAATATCTCTGAAAAAACATTAATGGAGAATGCAAACAAACTGCTAAGTCTTTTTTATTCCCTGAATTTATTTACTGTTATTTCTTCCTGCGGGAATTCTCAAGCTTTATCACAATTTTCTCACTAATGTTTGCAAGGTTGTAACATATGACTATAATATATGGTAATAGAACATTATACATGAATACTTTTCTAAGTATGTTCCCCAAAACATTTCAAGAACAAAAACCTATCGTCAGAATGAAACTTAACTTACACAACTACTGCTTTAAAGTTTAAAAAAGTCTGAAGTAAATGTTTATAGAAAAAGGGAGCATTAGATATTCAGAGAGTAAACTTCTGCTATGACTCCCAATCTCTCTCAGAAGCTTGACATTTTACCTAAACTTAAGAAGGTTTAATGAAGCTTAATCTCCTGAAGTAAAAATATACTTTAGTGTATCTTAATATCATTGCTGTATTGTGGATATATCAAACAAATGTAAATTTTTATGCAAGTTCATTAAAAGTAGTTCTAGATGTTGCCTGACAACTTTTAATACATGATCCTATCTTTGCTGAACAAGAAAAAAAAATGCTACATATATAAAGACCTTGGGAAAGGCTGGTGGAAGGCCTTCTACTTTAGTGCTTTCCAGATGGATATCACTGGTTGGAAAGAAAAAAAAAACTTCAAGAAAGATTCTGGAGATGCACTTTCTGTGAGACTGTTTAGACACAGTACTTCACAGATGCAGCTGACCTTCTTGGAGCTGGGGCCTCAGTAGAGATTTGTGTACAGTGAATTCTCCACTTAACTTTTGGCTGCTGTATATTGTTGTAGGAATGGGGTACTAGTTGAATTTTTAGTTGTTTTTTAAAAAGAAATATATCATTTTATCACAGGGTGGCATAATGGTACAATGTGTCACAAAACTCATCTGAGGATCTGAATACAGGATTCAGGACTTGAGGATGCTTAGTAGTATTTGATACAAAGTGAGATTGTAGATGTTTGTGATTGCACTGATAGCTACTCCTATGAATTTTTGATGAAATATAAATTACCTAAGTCTCACTTGATAGTCTACAGAATGTCCCATGTTAGCTTAAGCTCCATTTTATGTTACTTATAAAGCAACAAAAGTTTTTGAATAATTAAATTTTAAAATTCTATGAAATAGATAGTAATAATTTAAGATCATTACTTTTTACTTTCTCTCCTGGAGAGGAAGGTTATGGGTTGAGATAGAAAGATCTTCAAGTTCTATCATCATCATGATGACTGTCATCACTACTGCTGTCTGTTGCTACATTATAGTATCATTACCACCCATATATGTGCTAGAAGGTTAAACGTGCTCAATGTTGCAGTGGACTTGATTATTGTTAAAATCAAAATAAGTATGTCAGCGTACCCATATCACAAAATACACCAGTAATACAGAAATTATACAATTTTCTTCTCTTCCAAAAACATTACAATCGGATTCCATTGTTCTCAAAGCAGATATATGAGAAGTAATATCAACTTATGTGTGAGTATCCACTAGAACAGAGACAAAATATCCAAAAATGTGATTCAAATGTATAAAAGAGTGCTGAAAAGTTACTAATGAGTTTCTCACTCTATTGTGAATATCTTTAGAAAATAGATTTAGTTTATTTTGGATCTCATCATCTAGAAGTATATAATCTTTTTCTTCCTGGAAGTGGTTTAAGAGAACACTAATGAATTTTCTACATTAAGACAATGACATCATAGCATGGATTATCAGCTAGAATAAAACAAGTGTTTTTTAAAATTATGGATATAGTTTTTCTTCATATTTTCTCCAAGGAGTGAGAACAAAGCACTATTTAGTTACTAGTGAAATTTTTATATTCTTCTATTTGAACTTTATATTAAAGAAAAAACTAAAAATACACTCAAATCTTATTCACAATAATGATTAAAATATGAAGATCTAAAATATTATATTGCCATTATTAATTAGGGCATATGGAAGCTCTTAGGTGCTAATAAGCCTTTGAAGACACATGCTTTCCTTCTTTATAATATTTTATATAAAGACACAGTCACTTGAGATTTATCCAGCAATCAAAAATTTATCAATTTTTAAGATTTATTAGACTGTGGGTGAAACAAATATACAGATGAAGATGCTCATCTTTTATCAGTAGGAACTCCTGAAGAAAGGATACTGATCTCTAAGTGCTAAGTCCTGGTAGTAAGAAATATATGTAAAAAGATTCCGGAAAATTTAAACAATTAAATGAAATTAGAAAACACCAAACATTTCTGTTACTTAATGATAGAGAGTTGAAAGTAATTACATGCACCTGAAATCCAGTCTTCAAAGGGGATTAAAATGAATAAGGCTAGGGTTTCAGTGCTTTTAAATGACACGGTCTTTCTTTAAGATAGATTCTTAGATAATTTATTTATTAAGATGCTTCTAAGATTCATTTTCCAGAGGTCGTTTTGGTTACTTTGGGACAGTATCTGCAGATGATCTTGCACTGGGACATGAAGTGACTTTATGCTTTTGTAATGTCTAATATGCAATATTGCTTTGTTAGCTCTAGATGATTTACATTTCATAGCCTATCTCTCAGTTAAAACAAAAAATAATGCAACTTTATACATTTTGAAGTGATTAATATTTTAGAAGTAATTCCTTGCCAGTTTAAAATTTTATATTTGCATTTAATAACAAGGAGAAAGAAATCCTAAATACCATTCATAAAAGAAATATAATTTAATAGAAAATAACAAACAATTCACATTGTGAGAAAGTAGAATAGTTTTTTTTGTAATTAATCAATTCAGGAAGCAAATTCCCTTTCAAATTGGATATTGAGAAAGATAACTGTCTTTAGATACAAGTTCCACTGAACAATAGAGTTTGTGCCCTAAAACTCATAAGTTTGAAGACTTCTAATAAGCTACATTTTCATTAAAACTAATGAGCTGAAGTACAGACTCTAATTTAAAAATTTGTCTTAAGCTCCATTTCTACATAAAAAAGCTTCAAGACTTATAGAATTTTGTCAACCTTATATTAGCCATGTGTTTTTAAGATACATTATTTATATAGATAGCATTTTATGTTGTATGTGCTTATATATTATAAATTATAATTATACCTATATATAGATATATTTTATATAAGCATATGATAAAAATAAAATTTATACATATAAACAAGGCTCCAGAAAAAATTAGAAAAAAATATGTACATAGAAATACAGATATGTATCCTATAAAGTTTACCACACTAACATTTTATTTCTCTTTTAATATTTTAACTTGAAAATGAATTAGCAGAATCAAGCATTAATCCTTTATGCCAGCCTGCACTTAAGACAAATTAAATTATATTTACTGGCAAGGCACTTATGTGTAAAAACATAATATGTAAATTCCTTTCTTTGTAAAAAACCACGATGTTCTTGTTAATATCCTAAAACCACATAATGAGTATCTTATTCCAGGCTTCCAAGTATTATATTAATATGTCAGAGCATCCTCTTACCTTATTGGAACTTAAGCTGTGAATTCTATCACTAGAGTAGCTGTGGGGTATTGGAGGCTCAGGGTAATCCTCAGCACATTTTGTATTCCTCTTGATAACTTCTACATAGGAAACAGGGAAGATGCCTTGTCTGTTGGTACCTGGAATTTTACCTTCATACCAGTTTTGATCAACTCTTTTAAGTAGTATAATTCTATCTCCCTGTAAAATGAACATTATAAAATGAGCATTATAAGTAGATGCACTGACAATAGAAAACATAAAACTGTCATTGTTTCCTACTAAGCAATAGTTTTCTATTTGGGAAAGTTTTTGTTTAATCAGAGAAATGCAAGTAAGACCTTAGTGCGTACTAGAAAAATACAGATGCTGAACATATATGCAATTCAACCATCTGTTCTTTAGAGTCACTCCTAAGTATACTTGGCTAAGGTGAATAGTCTCATACATGTTTCATACAGTGTGTTATTTGTGTGTTATATCAGGAAGCAGACTAACTGAACAGGTAACATTTCAGTGACAGTGGTATCATTCTATTTCTGTCAGATTTGATAGAATGTCTTTCTGCAGGAAGGGCTTTAGAGCGTGTCTGAAATGGGTTGCAGAAACCAGCCTCTGGAGAGGGTAAAATTGAATGGCACACTAGTTTTCTTCTTTAATCTACATTTTCTGAATAAAAAAATAGTGACTATAAAGGGTGAGGAGGAAGACAGAATTCTAGAATATCCATAGTTGTGGCCAGGATTGACACTCCCCTGGTCTGCATCAGGGCATTAGTTCTGATTATTTGGTGGCCCTGTCCTATTTGTCATTAAATATCTGAATAGAACCTTTGGCTTTTATAGTAACAGAGCTTTCTACATTTACTTTTCTCCTACCTGCAATGACGCAGAACCTGATTTAAATTTCAATTCAAAACCATGCATGGCCCAGAACTGAGGCAGCAAGCTACTGTTCAATAGCAAAACTGTAGCTGACCATCCAGAGCTGACACAGAGGTTTGGGCAACCGCACCTGACACAAGGATGGAGGTCACATTGAGTCAGTAGCTGTAGGACATTAAGGTGCTCTGGTTCAGGTGCTTAGATCCTCACTGAAGTTTCTCTTTTTGTCAAAGTGCTAGATGGCTTATTTAGTGTGCTCCACCATCACTGAGCAGAACATACTGAGGAAAAGTGAACCTCTCCACTGAGTGCACTAAGTTTTTTAGTACACCAAGAATAGGTAACCACTAGGCTATTGGGTGAGTGCACTGGAAAAGATTTTATTTAAAGCATGAAACAGAAGATGATATGGTTTGTGTTACTGAGTGCTATAGATGGTAGTATAACAGAATCAGTTAATGATACAGAATTAGAACTACATGGAGAGATTCAGATCAAGTTCTGCCAGGACCAGAACTGTGGAATTTCCTTCATTTTACCTGGTCAAAGATTTTCTCGGTCGGCATGGGAGATGCCAGAGCACTGAAATTAATATTGCTATTGAGGCAGGAGATTAGGGCACAGCAAAGCAGCTGGACAATTGGGCATGACTTCACCATCACAGGGACCTGTCCATCATGGCCAGGAGGCATGCATTAAATGGCCTGTATCTGACATCAGGGAAGGATATAAAAGTGGCAGCTATTGGCCATGCAGCCACTGTTCTTTTGCTTTCATAATGACCCATTCTGCATGCAGGATGTATTTTCTCTTCTCTTTTCCTCAAGAACTTCTTCTTTGGAACACTTCTTTTTTACTTCTTTTCTCTTTTATAGGCCCATCCTATGAGAAGGGCATAGTTTTTTTTTTCTTCACGGGTACTTTTTCACAGAACTTCTTTCCTTTTTTTTTTTTAAACCATTCATAAATGTCAAGCTTTTACGTTTTTCATATGTTCTGTCCCATTATTTGAACAGGACAATAAGAGCCTGCAAAGGGCCACTGGTCAGGACAACATCCGGTAACACTAGCTTGTCTGTGTTGTGTGCAGGAGTAGTTACTTTAAGCAAATATATGTCATTGTATTGGAGACAATAACAATAATTCACTTATCATTCTCAACCGTGTATGCAAAGTAGCAGATCAAAAGAGTTCATTCTGGTTTGTTGAGAAGGGATGGCAGGATTGGCAAGGTTGCTAGTGAAATTTGGGTTAGCCCCTGGCCCAGAAAAGGATGATCAAGGAAACAGCATGGGTAGCTATTTGAAAGGCTTCCCAGAGAGGTGGTATTTTTGTTATTTTATGATGATTACTTCATTCCAAGATAGAGAAAAGTGTGTGTTGGAATACTTTTCTTTTAAAAATAGTTGAATCATAAGGCAGCAGACCAAAAATATTTTGAAGTATATTAAAATGCTGTCTCCTTTTGATGTTCTCACTTAAGTCTGAGATATTCAGCCAAAGTGCCTTTTAGAGAGGACTTGGGGCCCTGCTTCCCAAGCTATGCCACAGAGGGATTTTGCCTCCCACAGATATCTCTCTGGAAGGACACAGGGACTAGGAGCAAGAGTGACTCAGGACAGCCTTAAGGAATCCTTTTTGGAAAATGGAGAAAATACAAAATTGTCTAAGGAAGATGATAATCTTAGTTTGGTTTAAAAAGTACAATCTTTCCTACTGAACTTCTGAAGAAAATAGCCAGGTTACCTTTCTCAGTGAGAGCTCCACATTCGTGTCTGCACTAAAATTATATTTGGCTATAGCTTCTCCAATCTCTCCAGGCTGGGCCGGTGGAGGTGGTCTTGCAGGCTGTGCTTTTTCAGGAGGTGTGAGTTTCTAGGAAAAGAAATAGTAATTTATTCTTTAACTTGTGGTAACTTTTAAAACAACCACCAGGATGGAAAGGGAAGGCACATACCTCTACATATGAGATTGGGAAAATGCCTACTCTTCCGTGGTGCTCTCCCTCATACCAGTTTGGATCAATTTTCCTGAGGATGTAGACAGTATCGCCTTTCTTAAATGACAATTCCCTGGAAGAGACATGTTTACATGGTTTTTTTCTTATGTGTACAAATTATTCTTAAGATCCACACCCTTGTTAGATGTCCATTAGTCTGGAAAGTGTACTTCCAACATGTATTCTGTCAAGCTTCATTAGGTAAGGATTTTCCTCGAAAATGCCTAGAAATCGTTCATAACGTAACTTTAGAAATAATTGTGAAAAGTATAAACACAACATCTGATATAAATCACAGGAAGATTAATATATTTAAAAGAGGAGACTATTTGTTTATTTTTCCGTAGTCAAAATATTGTGAAGTTTGGCAAAATGACGGACTAGTGTTGCATTGATTTTCTTTCTGTCCTGAAGCTGGTCAGCCAGTGACCACCTCCCCTCCCCTCTGCTGTCCATGTGCTAAAGCTCACAATAAGGAAAACAAACATCTTAGAGTCTCAGGACAGAGGTGTCAATGCCAGAAAGGTATCTCTGGATCTTTGGGGTTAACAGAGAGGTATCTTATCTTTGATAAGGAATTCATTTTGTGTAAAAGAGTTCATACTTTTATTTTTTAGTGGGACAAATCAATAAATATATGTTAAATGTGAAGACATGAACAAGTGTCTGTTATTTTCTTTATATCTTTTATTTTTTAAAAATAAAAATATTTTAAAAAACAATAAGTCAGTTTTTTCTGTTTTGACTTTCTAAGAAAAACAGTAGGTAAATGAAGTCTTTTTTAATTTTAAACTCTGATGAAATTATTTATTTTGAATAACTCATCCCTACATCTATCACCCTCCTTACATCAGTTTTTCATGACTTCGTTACCCAGATTGTGCTGGTTCATTATTTTGCAGAATATATGATGAACGGAAATTGATGTCAAATGTAGAATATCTTTCACTGACTGAAAGAACTAATTGATAAAAATATTACACATTAAAAAAACGATTACACATTTAGAAGCAAGGAAATCTTTTTTTTTTTTTTTTGTGGTACCGGGGATTGAACTCAGGTCCTTACGCTTGTGAGGCAAGCCACCAAACCGCTGAGCTAAATCCCAAAGCAATGCAATCTTTATATTTGTTGTGCATTAAGTTTTTAGAAACTATAAAAATTTACAAAGCTTCACAGTCTAAAGCTTTACAGCTGTACAGTCAAACATAATACTTCATGTTTTTTTAGAACTGAAATTGAAACCAGAGCCTTTCCCAATGAGCTACATTCTCAGCCCTTTGTAATGTTTTATTTTGAGACAGAGTCTCACCAAGTCCCTAAGTTGCCCAGGCTGGGCCTGAACTCGCATTTCTTCAGCCTTCCAGAGTGCTGAGATTACAGGAGTGTACCAGGATGCCTGGATAGTATTTCCCTTTTTTATTGAAAACAAAATAAGATATTTAATGGTTTCAACCCAACAGTTTTGTTTGTATCAGGAACATTTTATTTCTTGATGAGGTATTTTAAATATATGTGCAAATTAGGAACAACTAATTTTTTCCTTTTAAATATGAGGAGGATTTTCTCTATTTGTAGAAGTTTGAATTTAAAATTTTCAAGTCATTTAGACAAAGGAAAGTCAATTCCTTTTCCAGTTTCCAAAGCTCTGTCTGTCTCATCTCAAACCTAGAGTCTCATTTTAATCAGCTTTTTTTTTTTTCCCACTTTTGAAGAGCGGCTCCTGAAAACCTCTGGGAAATCATATTTTATTTCTTTTTCCATTTAAAAATTTAGTCATTATATTTAGTGAGTTCCTTGGCTGTATTTTTATAATTGTTATTCATAAATATATTAGGTAAAGAAAAATAGTTTTGAGGACGACTGAGCTTTCGAAAGCTGCACAAGCCATCCAGCGCCCTGAGCTTTGTGTCAAACACAGAAGTACATTAGGGGTGACGAAAGACTGTCTTTACATCTCCTATGGACAGAACAAGAGGGATGTGACTAAGCTGTGATAAGCCCAACTTAATTGTGGTATGAGAGACATTTTTTCTTACTAAAATTATGAGACTGCTTCTATGGAAGGCTGCTTAATCACTTTCTCCAGAGGCATGCACAGTTAACTTTCGCTGGTGAAGGAGGCCTATTCATCGCCTGGTGAAAGGCAGGGGTGGTACCCTTAGCCCGTGACAGGCAGCTGCTCGCTCTCCCACAGGCAGCCTGGTTTCCCGGAACGTCCCCTGATGTGCCCATGGAAGAGGTTGAAGGCTCTACTCATGGAGCCCACACGATCCAGTGAGGCAAGCGGTAACCCAGCACCTGTCCTTAGGATCACATAGCATCTTCTTCTTTGAAGGTTTTTTATTTCGTCCTTGTACCAGGGATTGAATTTAGGACTTTGTGCTTGCAAAGCAAGCGCGGTGTCACTGAGCTAAATCCCCAGCTGAAGGTTTTTTTTTTTTTTTTAATTATTAAAACTTGAAGAAACACTTCTTGAGTCTTAGGCAGACACCCTTCCTATTTTATATGCTTTGTTATTCCTTGGGGAAGTATGTGCTTAAATAAGTTTTTGATTGATTGTCATGAAGAAGAAAAAAATGTGCTTTATGTCATAAAACATATAATAGAAATCTTCACATCACGCCCAGGTGATTGTGCCCAGAGTGCACAAAACAAAGCAGAAGCTGCCCGGTAGTTTGGACCCAAAGGCCCACTGGTGAAAGGCTTAGTCTTCGGCTCAGCATCACGGGGACAGAGTGGAGACCCTAAGAGGTGGGGCCCTTGGGAGGCCCCCCGGTCGCTGGAGTGACGTCTTCGAAGGGGACGGTGGGTCCTGGTCATTTACCCCTCATTTGCACTCTGAATAGGAAGTGAATGACTCTGCTTTGCCACATACTCCCTGCCAGTATGTGCTGCTCTCCTCCTCAAGAAGAGTCCTAAAGGCAGTAGATCCACCCCTTCGTGATCTGAAACCTCCAAACTGAAACGCAGTAAATTTCTCCTCCTAAGTCTACAGTATCAGACATTTCACTGCAGTAATGGAGAACTGACTAGTAGGTTACTTGTTCAGTCAAAAAGATGACATAAATTTTCTTCGAATTTTAGTTTTTACACCAGATTAAAGCCATGTTTGATATTTTATTTCTAAACAGTATTTCTCTTAGTTTATTCTCTATATGATCAATATCAAATTCCAAGTGGCATTATTTTTTATATGTCTTCTATCAGACACAATTTCTTGAAGTAATGATTCATATTATATGCATTTTAAATAAAAATTTTTTTGATTATATATATTTTAATTTGAACAACACTAAATTTAGTGGTAATTTACCTTGAATTCAATATTGAATTCCAAGTTTTGTGCATGTGAGCTACAAAAGATCTACACAAGTCTTTCTTGTTTAAGTCTACTTATGTGCTCAGTACTAACCTTCCCCAACCACATCCTGTTAGGTGAAGGAATTCCTAAAATAACAGGATAAAAGGAATAACGACACAGGACTAGGAAAGTACCAACATTAAAGAACCACCGGCTGTAACTGTGCTCAGAATCTCCCAGATTTGAGCAGCAAGAGCCAGAGATTTCACTACAGGAACATTTGCACACAGTGCTAGTCATTGATGTCACAGACTATGTTTGATACAGCTGGACAAATGAATGCTATCAAATTCCCCCAGCTAGGGTTAATTGCCCCCGTTATGATTTAAATGTGAAGTGTCCTCCAAAGATTCATGTATTGAGGGCTTGATCCCCAATGCAGCCATCTTCAGAGGCGGGGCCTAGCCAGGTGGTTGGATCTTGAAAGTGCTTACCGCTTCGGTGGATCATTTCATAGCTGCACGGGCTATTAGGAGATGGGCCGGGATGGAAGGAGTAGGTCATTGGGGCGTGCCTCAGTCTCCCTTTCTCTCTCTGACATGTTCCCTACTTTCTGCTTTTCTCTACCATTTTGTTTCTGCCTTCAAGCCAATCATGGACTGAAATCTCTGAAACTATAAGCCAAAATAAACCTATTCTCCTTTCAATTGTGTATGTTAGATATTTTACCCCAGCAATAGAAAGGTGACTAAAATATCCTCATCGCTTTACTTTTAATTAAATCTTTTTTTCTCATTTAATTACATCTTGACACGAAAATTCTAGACACAGTGCTGGCTCTGGCAGCATACATACTAAAAAAATTCTAGACACAAAGATTCTTCCTTTTCTGTTGAACATGCTTAAAATAATTTAAGACTCAGTGTTTTAACTAAACTCAAAATGGAGATAAAATTTCCCTATCCTAATTAGTAATTCCAAAAGAACAAGGTGATTAGAGTGGATTTTTGAATTGGGAATTAGGTCTTATTTATAACACATCCCACTGCAGTATTTATTTTTTAATGTATTACTAGCATAGTTTAAAGCCAACTGAAATCATATGATGAATACTTATCTTACTTACTTAGATGTCTGAGCCTTAAAATCATAAACAGCTTTTGCAGGCAGTTTCTAAAAAGAGAGGTAAATAATCAGCACTAATTTAAAAATTGAATTTCTTACAGTTTCACAGGAAAACAAGACCTCAGGGGTGATAAATGCACACACTATAAATCTAATGTGCAACTTATAAATAAATAAATCAATTAGATTTGCATTTGGGCATTTAAGGTATAATAGGGATATAATAGCTGACCTCTTCACAATCATATTAACCTTAGGAACTAAGGTATCTTAATGCCATAATAGGCTAATAAAATACCTGCAGAAGATTCTTAGATGTAATTTTGGCTATTACAAAGGTTTCCTGTGGGACAATTGTGGAGGGTCAATAACTATGTGGATTGACACAACTCTGAATTACAATAAAAGGACAAAAAGCCATGAAGGAAGACATCATCCCCTTTATTAAATATTTATAAACATTTTAGTCAAGAACCTTTAGCCCAGTTATTACTGAGAGGCTGGATAGTGGCTAAAAGTACATGGGCAATCATCTGTATGCCCGATGGTTAACCAATCAGAACGCTGCCAATCAGACCCTTTCTTTAGGGTGTGATGTGACACCTGCTCATGTTCAAACTTGGGCACACGAACCTATGTGACACCGCCGGTACCCTATAGCTATCCATGGCTCTTTCTTCCACACCAGCCATTAATTCCTTCACCCCAGTCTCTTTCCCTGTGAGTCTAGAGAACTTTGAAAATCTGGACAATTTCTCATGTCCCACAGCCACTGGAGTCTGTCAGACACCTGTGAGGTCCTCCTAGTGTGACTGACTGTCAGCCCAAGACTGGCTTTCAGTTTCCATCAACCCTCGTGGTTCCAGGAGAGTCAAGGACCAGAGCACTAAGAATCGGTTGGTGCATGGCTCTTAGGGGCAGTGCTACTAATTGGCTGTTAAAATTTTTTTCAGGGATCCTCTTTACAAAAATTAACTAGAAAAAATTATTTGCATGGAATTTATATTGATTTATAAATTATAAAGGAAATTTCTTCTTTCAACAAGGCAGCCCAATCAATCCAGGACTCTTTTAGACCACAAATGTTGATTCGCATGTGTCACTTAAAGATGCAAGTGAAGTAGGATGGGTGCTGTGGTCAGAGTGCAGACTGCTTTGAGTCCTAGGCTCAGGCTCCCAAAAAACCTCTTTTTTATTTCTCAGTTGTTATTTTCATGTTTCAATCTGGGTTCTTTATTGATTTGTGGTGTAAGCTTTACTGGCCAGGGCTTTATCAAGTATGTCATTTTAAAAGACTCCAATGCTGATCATGCACTACCTCTTTTTCTGGAGTTCCTCTTCTTTCCCGTGGTGCACTTCTCCCCAAGTCAGTCAAAGCGGACGAGTAACTTCTGGGGGACTCTCGGTCTGTCGGAAAGGAGACGGTCGGTCAGAGTGAGAACCCGTTCGTTCAAAGAAGATTTGGTCAGCTATTTTCTCCGAGGTAACTCTTCCCCCAGCTCCTCATTCTCCATATTGGAAAAGACACCATTATTGAAAATATGGATATAAAGCTAACTGATAACTATAAGTGATAAGAAACAAACAAAGCTAGAATATTTCAAAATGAAAATTATTTGAGCTAGCAGATGCATTATATTCATGTAGGTAAATATAATTGCTAATTGTTGAGTCATTACCCTGTAGTGCCTGGTGTAGATAATTCATAGTAATAGGGATTTTTCATATCAAATATTTTCACTGCTATTTCTATTCTATTCCAATTTATAATTACTATTAGATGGCCAGTAGAGCATGGAGAATTTGAAAATAGCAGCAATTTGTAGAAACAGAAACATTTGTGAAACAATTTAAGAATGCAGCAATGGAAATGAAAAAAGCCAAAGAATGAATGATGCAGACAGGACTGTGGCGGTGCCCTCTCCCCAGCTCTGGCCTTCCCTTGTGCCCAGTTGAGAAACCACCTTATCAGAAAGTAAGATTTATTTAAAACCACAAAGGGATAAACAGTCATATCAGTTGCCACATAGCCAATGAAATATTGAGGTTTTTGTTTGTCTTAAAGTAGAATATTCCTTAATAGTATCTTGTATTTACTATTACACATTTTATGACTTATACGTGGGAGTGTAACTAGAGATTGAAACTATATTAACAGTTTATGGTATAGAATTTTTTTGTCAATTCTTTTATCTCTTTAATGAATTTAGTTATGTTAAATAACAAGAAGCACTAAAATATAAATTATTTTATCCATCTCTGAAGGAATTTAAAATGCTGATGTATAAGAAGAAAAGGTTTAAATGTTCTGACTACTTTGACTAAATGGAAGAACTGATTACTTACAAGTGAGTAATTAGTTGCACAACCCATGTCAAACTTCTTGTAAGTTGTGAATTTCAGTGTCTTTAGGTTTATGAAGGTGACATGGCCGCAGATGTTTCAAGTAAAACTTAGTTATTTTCATCCAAGTTAGAGGATATGTACAGTATGTTTTTCATTCTAAATTAATATACTTTTATGAACATAAGGATCTTATAATGACTAAACATTTTAGATTACTTTTACTTTAGATTACTTGGAATATAAACTCCTCCTTTCTTGGACTGCACATAACTGAAAAGCAAATGTTTTGTTAAGGAACAAAATATTTTTGCAGTGCATTTCGAAGTCTCCTTAAGTAGTGTTTCAATAATGTACTCTATCTGCACATAGCATTGAGACATGCTTGTATCAGGTATTAGAAAAGGGAACAAGGTAGCTAACTGAAAAGTTACATTCTTCCATGTCTCAGTGTCAAAATTTCCACTTGTTGAAATTGACTTTAAAAATCCTAACGAGTATTTGAAGCATGTTGAATAGCACGAGTAAAGGCAAAGATAAACAATAAAAATAAACTAATAAAATAAGTACATTTGTACAATGGTAATCAACAATTGAGTCACAAATAACACTAATGTGAAATTAAAATTGTGTCTCTTTTTTTTCCTATAGAGATATTTGAGTGAATAGCTATACAATTTTAAGGATTATGTAAAACTATTGGTTTTGATTAATTTTACAGTGAAGAAAGTTCTCCCTAAGTATAATGATATTCACTTACAATTTCTGCCTTGAAATAGTCTTTTCAATTTGGTAAATCGTTCAATTTATTGTCCCAACGTAACAGTTATAACCCTAGCAAACAAAATGTTTGCCTTTCACTTTTGAATGAGTAAATTTTTGTGAATCGATGATGACTTTAAGCCACACACGGAGCTCACATATTTCACGGGCAAATGAGAAATAGTAAGACACGCTGGCACAACAAACACTTGCTCGGAAACACATAACGATGCCAAGTGGTCTCACAGCTCAGGAACGATGAGATGTGGGGATGGGAGATGAGAGAGCTGGAGGGTGGGTATCTGAACCACATGGAAAGAAAGACAGAAAGTTCATCCACCTTGGAGACTGAGCGCACCGTCACGGTCCTGGGGGTGGTAGCTGTTGTCGGGTGTGTCCACATCCGGGAAAGAGGCACTGTGAGGCATTCTCCCACAATCGGTCTGGAACAGCGGACAGTGAACAGCACCATCGTGAGGCAGCGGGGGGAAAGGCTGGTGCGTGGGGCTCCTTTTCAGAGCTTTAAGGGATGAGTTCCTTTCAGGAATATCTGGCAGCAGTTCACTGATAAGACGGTGCAGTATACTGTTGTCTGGCAGACTTCCTCTTCTCTTTTCAGCTTTGATTTGGTCACAGATGTCTTTAAGGGCAGAGTCCAAAGCCTCAAATACAGATGCTTTACATTTTGCCTTTTCAGTCTGCTTTTTGGGAGTCACATTTTTTTTCCTCCGGAAAGGCACAGGGCTGACTAGAAATGCAAGTTTGGACAGGCCGGGGTCCATTTCTTGTCTTCTGGGCTGCTCCACATTTTCATGCTTAGCTCTTTCATGTTTTAACATTGTGGTGAATCGAGTATAGGAGGCTGGGCACCGGCCTTTGCAGGAGCTGATGAGGTGCCGATGGTGGTGATGGTGATGATGGTGATGATGGTGGCTGGATCCGTAGAAACTTTCAGAGGATGTGAATGAGAAGTGATCAAAATCACTTTCACTGCAAAAGGATGACCCTTCCACGTGGATGTAGTCACTGTGATCAGACACAACTCCATCCTGGTCACTGTCGGAAAACTCCGTGTGAGTTCTCGGTTGCTCGTCGCTGGTGACTTCGATGTGAATTGGCACCAGGGCTTTAGACTTGTAGCTTCGTTGAACCTGAGAAGGATGTCTGCTTTGATTTTCTTCCTCCAGCAAAGACTCAATGGAAAATCGCCTCTCGGGACACAAACCATTTTGTTGTGGTTCGAGGGTAACAGGAGATAACATTTCGTCTCCTAAATTTGGCATAGATTTTGACTTTTGAATCAACTTTTCAAATTCTGAGATGCGGGTGGGTACCATGTCCCTGGGCACCTCCTCCGTGGAGGACTGGCTCCATCCTTGGAGCAGGCCCTTGTGTTGCTGCTCCTTTTCATACTGCATTATTCTCGACTTCACCGAGCAAATCACCTCTGAATTCATCAAGTCCTTCCGATTAATGCGGTGCATTTTCTTGTACATTTTTAGGAACCCGGGGGCGTTGTGGGCTGACCTGTACCTAGCCCTTGATCTACTGTTACCTCGACCCTCCTGGATGTAGGAGGAACCCCAGGTCATGGGGCAGCTCTCTTTGGAATCCTCTTCACATAGCAGGGAGCCCATACTTTCTGACTTGGTTTGGGGGTCAGGGAAGCTATCACAGTCATCGTTTAGGAGATCGTCACAGCTACGGGATTTGATTTTGGGGGACACAGATTCTTCAGTGCTGCTCCAGATCTCTGCATTTTGCCGGGCCATCTGCCAGCCATTCTTGAAAGTGATGGCCCTTTGTGAGTCCCTTGGGACATCCAGATGCTGTCCATAAGGACTACAGTACTCTAACTCACTGGAGGGGGTGCCATGGAGCCCTGAGTAACTGCAAAGGGATGGACACATTTCGCTATCATCCCCACCTTTTAATCCAGAGCAGCGTGGCAGGAGAGAGATGTTTAGAGAGGTTAAAAGGTTCACAAAGAGAGGAGAGTATGTCAGTATCAGACAGCACAGCAAAGAGAAACCAGTTAGTGTGGCTTAATCTAGACACTGGTCGTTAACACATGTAGCTTCAATTTTAGAGGAAAAAGGTCTAATTCTATAGGCATGATGATACTTTTTCCATGAGTGTACCTTACAGATTTTAGAGTCAACAAAACCATATATAATAAGTAGCTAGCTTAGTTAATATACTTATTTCTGTCGCATAATTCATACATCTTTCTGCCAATATGGTATTAAAAAAAAAACCAGAAACAAAACATTTATATCTCTTAAGCTAATAGCATGCCCTGGTGGTAATTTAAAGGTTTAACAATTCATGCCCAAATCATTATAGACTTAAATCAATTTAATAGGATGAGGACTTGAAGCTCATTTGACTTATGGGATACATAGGTAAAAAATAATTATAATTTTACATTTAATGAATATGCTCATAACTATACTAAATAATTTTTCATGGGCATTGGATTGAAGAAGGTGGAAGGAAAAGTATTTTCTAAAATTGCAAAATCAAAATAGTGTGAACTATTACTTCCAATATTTTTTCAACAATAAAATAACTAGATCTTCTTTAAACAAACTAATTTACTTCTTTAACTGCTCACCTTTAACCTTTCATTAGGTACATTGTTCTTTTAAAGATAACTGGATATAATGTAAACTTTCATTAGAGGTAAATGAATCATGCTTCTTTTATGGAGAAGTTTTTAAAAATTATTAAACCGTTCATTTCAATTTGTTCAATTCATTCATTTCAATTTGAAACAGAAAGCTAAACTTGACCTCAATTTGGAACATGTATGGAAATATTCGTTGCTTTTGTTCTGCTGAATTATCTAGTAATTGAGAGGCCAGATTACATCTAACAGGACATTTTCTTCTTTAAAATAAAACTTAATGAAGGAAAATATCTCTCTTAACAACTAATGACTTATGTTCCTTCAGTTCTTCAAAAGCAGACAAGCACATTAATTTGGTATGTAGTATTTTGGGAAAGGAAGTTGACTTAACACTCCCTATGATAAAAGAGACATTTAAATTTGTCAGAATCCTTTCAAGTTTTGGATAGTAGCCAAGAATAATGAATCAATGGCATTTCATGACTTACTTGTTATCTTAAGGTATTTGTGTAAATGAGTGGAGGCCAAAAAAGGTATCTCTGTTAACACAAAAAAGGAGTAAGGAATGGGGCTCCCTCCTCCGAATCATCCAGCCATTCTTCACAGCTTGACTAGGACTTGGAAGGGCCCAGACTCTGGACTAAACAGTCAGTTATTCTACCAGTCTACCTTTTGTATACAGTTCAACTATTAATTGGCTTAACTGCTGAGTGGCAACTGCTTTAGTGCCTATGATTGGTCTGTGTAGATGAATGCCTCCTTTTTCATGGAAACTTCTGCTAGAGCTCGTTTTCTTCACACATTTAAAAATGATTCTCTCTTCTGTTCCAACTCCAAGAGATTGGAGGAGATCATGGGGCTCCAAATTTGGTATGGCCCTAGGGCTCTGTGGAAATTGGTTCAGTCCTGTCTCTCCATCTCTGAAACATTCCTGTCCCCAAGGCAATAATACTCTAAATGATCTTTCAGAAACCAGAATGAGTGACTTAATTCTCTTTCAACAGTTAGCTCTCTGCATTTCCAAAGAGGAGACAGGAAATTGGAAACGTAGCTTGTTGATTTCTAAATTATAATTATGAATTGAAACCAGTTATAATTATGAATTGAAACCAATTACAATTTTAAATTGAAACTGCTATGAATTGTCCACTATGTTTTGGGGTAGAACATAAATGAATACTCTGCAGCATACACAAAGATTGATCAAAATATGGACTAAATGCTTAAATAAATGACTTTAATAGATTAGACAATTTTTTACCTAAAATTTAAAAAAATGGATGTTTTAGGCAATAATTTCTCTATTTATATCAGTCTGTATATCTAATTTGCTCATTATACTAAAGTTAGAAAATTTTTATTACTTGTAATGCTTATAAATGTTATCTCTGCTGATTTGAAAGCAAATTATTTGAACTTGTTTAAAAAACAATAACTGGAGAAATGAAGCCTCAATAGATGCTAGTCTAGGTCCTTTGAACCATCCAAGTGGTTCACTAGTTTGAGTCAGACTGTGTAGAAACAAAGATATTGTTCTGAAGCTGTGTTTTATTTGAGACCCTGTGGTACAAGCCAGAATATATCATTATTACTATCATATGATAGCTCTCATATGTATTACAGGCTAAAACTTAAATGAGTAAATTGTTGTTTATCAGTGCTCACCTTTTGCTCTTGAGGGTGAAGAAGGAGAAGAACTAATGAAAGACTTTGTCATCATGGTGCTTGATCCTGGGAGGTCTGCCCTACTGGGGCTGGTCCTGCTTGTAATGTGATCCCCCAAGCCCCTGGGTGGACCTACTGCAGGCTCACTCTTCCTCCGTTTCCTGAAGTCACTGGCCATGCTTGCAGAACTGAAAGAAGGGGCAGTATCAGTGTGACTGGCACTGCAAGAGGTTAGCAAATGCACTAGAAAGACTGGTAGAAAATGCAAGAGACAGCAATTTAATTCCCTTCACCCCCAAAACTGCATTATGAGGAATTCATCCCTTGACATTCAAAATGATTTCTTTAGAATCATCTTTTTAAAGAAATGTATAGATCTCATTGTTTTTAGGACAGTTTCAGGCTTACGTAAAACTTGACTGTAATGCACAGGTCCTCCATTTCTGAGGGTTCTTCAACCAACTGTGGGCTGCAATAATTTAAATATGTGTCTGCACTGAAGATTTGTTTTCTTATCATTAGTCCCCAAGCAATACAATGTAACAAGTATTTGTGTAGGATTTATATTGAATTAGGCATTATAATTAACCCAGAGATAAAGAATATGGGAAGACTTCATAGATTATATTCAAATACTATGCTATTTATGTGAGATTTGAGTATCCATAGACTTTAGTCCTGGAAGCAATTCTCAGTAGATATTGAATAACAACTGTATAGAGTTGCTCTGTACCAACTTTCTTTTCTCTTGCTCATGTTTTCCCCTATTATTTAAATCTATTAGTACAGCTTTTTTTTGGTACCAGGAATCAAATTCAGGACCTTGTGCTCACAAGGCAGGCTTTGGCACCACCGAGCTACAGTATATCATAGTCGCTACCATTGATGAGTTTACCCTAACATGTCATCATTCTAAGTCTATGTTTACATTATGATTCATGCTGTGTGCTATACGCTCTACGGTTTCAAAAGTGTCTGATGAGATGTGTCCATTACTACTGTGTTGTGTAGAGTGGTTTTATTGTCGTCAGATTCCCTGTGTGTCACCTTTTCTTCCATTCTTCTCTGTTCCTGCTGCCTCAGAACCTCTGAGCTTTTTATTGTCTCCATGCTTTGCCTTTTCCAGATTGTCACAGTTGGGGTCATTCAGTGTAGCCTCTTCAGATTAACTTCTTTCACTAAGTAATGCACTTTAAATTTCCTCCATTTTTTGATCGTGTGATGGTTCATTTCTTTTCCTTGCTTAATAACCCTTTATATGGATGTACCACAGTTTGTGTATCCCTTCATCTACTGAGGGGCACGTTGATTGCTCCTAAGGGTTGGCAAGTATGAAGAGAGCAGCTATAAGCATCCATGTGCAAGTTTTTCTTTTGTGTGTGAGCATATGTTTATAATCAACTTTTAAAGTAAATTTCTGCTATTGTGAACATAATGTTACCAATGTTTCAGTCTTATGATTTGTGACATATATATCTTTTTTATATGAAGGAGGGTCCCAGGAACATGAACATTTCTGGAGTGGAGGGTGTGCCAAAATGGAGGCAAGAACTGGATAAAAGGAAGCCATCTAGCAAAACAAGTTTCTATCACCTCAAAATTATTATTACTTGAAGATTTTCCTTAGCCTTAGCTTTGGAAGACTTTACATTGGAATTCCAACCTTCTCCGTCTAAATAATGAATGACCAATAATGTGGACAGCAAATAAACTATTTGTATAAAGTGTTTGTGTAAAGTGGTGTTGATAGCAGGGAATTTTTTTTCAAAGTTTTGAGTTTGAATGCAATATCGCTTAAGAAAACATGAATGAATGAAGAGACACATGGTATGGTATATATGTTCTGTCAAATTGCTGGATAGAATTAGGTAAACAATGGTGACAATTCTAGGTATGGTTCTTATGGATCTCAGCAGGACACTATGTGTTTTATTTATATCTTTGTTTCATTTCAGCCCATACAGAAACCTATGCAGTATAACAGGTTATCACAGATGTGATACAAATGAGCGAACTGGACCCACCAGACTGAGAAACACAGAATTGGAGCCAGTACTCAGTATTTGTCTGCATCCTCCTAAAGAGGGTGTCCATCTCCTAGACTGATGGCATGATTATCGTGCCATGTGATGGTCTGTTTGTCTTCACAGTAAGCCCTTAGGTCAGACTGGAGCTCTAAAATTCAAATATTTCATACATTTTCAGTGCAAACACAAAAAGTAGGAGGTTAGTGGAGTTCCTTTTTTTGCAATACTAATTCAGTTGCATAGCAATCATGAAGTCAATTTATGAAGGACCCGACTCGTAGTTTTCTACTGATGTTGATAGAAATTGATAGAATGGAAAATTAATGTTATAGAAATATTTGATGATACAATATGCCTGGATGTTTGATATTCAGTACTGCTATTGAACTATGTTTGAATTTCAGTAATATTTTAAAGCCTGCTAACAGAACTTAACGTTTAGCAGACTGAGTGGCATGCTACCTCAACTCAATTCTACTTTGTTTCTCTCTTTTCTTACTGTGGAGATGTGACAAGTTAGTGAGCCTAAGTGTTAGTTTCTTCAGAAATAAAGGGGACATAGTATTTACCTCATAGTACTGTCACTGGATTGATATGTACTTATATAATATGTACTTATACACATCATATATCAGTAATAAGAGCCTTTCTTATTTGTGTGGTGGGAATGATTAACAAATACATGTATAATATTTTCTACTTTATAAAAATTTTACACATACCATCTTACCCAACTAGTCTAATCCCCATTTAAAGGAGAAAAACTGACTAAAGCAAAGACAAGAAAGAGAACTTAGCAGTCTATGAACGAATCTAGAATTATTTCACTTTAGTTTTATAAATTCTTGAATATGATAGTATACAATGATGCAGAAAAAACAAATCAACTTCACGAGGCATAGTATTTATGATGAATTATGCATAATCTTCACCATTTTGCTGAATAATATAATTATTGAAAAATTTGGCATAGACTCTTCTACACACACACGCGCACACACACACACACACACACACACACACACTTTCTTACCTGCTGGGCCTCTCCAGGCTTCTGTCTACAGAGGACTGATATATGGAGGCCTGTGAAGACAGAATAATAGCTCCATGAAAATGATTACAATGACATATTTTATTTGTCCATCAACATTAAATTCGGTATTGTGAAAGAAATATTATAAATATTGAGATTGGAAGTATCATTTATTACAAAAATGTCTTCCCAAAAAGAAACTGATTTCCACCTTTTCCCTATTTACTTTCTCTGATGTACTGTACTGCATTTCACTGCATCATTTAAATTATCAAGCATTAATTTCATGGAGAGAAAATAAGAATCAATAACATTTCCTCAGCGACACTGAAATGAATAAAGAGCTGAAATTACACCACAACATTAACTTCAGAATCTTTTTTGATCAACTGTAAGAAATTTCTTACATGAAAGGTTTGATTTTTTAAAAAGATATTCGCAGTCATAATTCAGACCTTATAAAACATAACTCTTCATTATAATTTTGTTTTGTCATTGTCAAGTTTTAAAAATTAATTTTATTGGTACATTTAATGTACACAATAGAATGAGATTTATTGTTGGAAATTTGTGCCTTTACGTAATCAATCTTGGTTCTTACTTTTTCCCCATTCCCCTGCCTCAAGTTTTGTCTCTAAAATACAACATATAAGCAGAATGTGAAATATCTCTGTCAGCATAACATTTTAATAAAATCCATAGAATTTCATTTGGAACCAAATTACCTTGGTCTTCAATCAGGTACAGATTTATAAATTTCAAATAAGGTGAGTTTAGGGTTAGTTTAAAATAAATAATCTAATAAATCAAAATATAGCTTTTAAAATGTGTTCTTTAAACGTTTTCCTTTATTTTGAACAGTATACTGCAAAAACAGCAAAAACAATAGGCAGGAAGTTTTCGTTTCTCATGTCCACTCACTGGGACAGATGCTAAATTATCTGAAAGGCAAGAGAGGATGAGTATTGAGCTCCTGAACATCCGAGTTACACTGCAAGTGGCAGTGATGTGATGTCTAGCACACACGGGGAAAGGTATGATGGCTTTAGGTACAGCTTTGGTCACCACAGATGCCCAATTCATCATCCTAGATAGACTTAGTTTTGACTAAAAACTGAAAGTCTAGTTTGAAAATATTTGTCGGTATGGAAGTTAAAAAATGCCATCCAGGAATGTGAAATTTAACAAGTTTTATTCTAGCAAACAGAAACATTTTACCAGAGCATCTAAAGCCTATTTAATGGATATTAATATTCACTTTACAAATGATTTTTATAACTCTACTTTGTACTAACTGCTAAATTGATAGCAATTAACCAATTAAAACACTGGCAAATAATTTTGCAATTCTTTATATAGATCAATCTGGCATGCCTCCTTGTGTATAAGTCTAAACTCACTTCTACTAAATTAATATTTTCATTTAATTCTATTTTATTCAGTAAGAATGGACCCGTGTCCAGGAAGAAAAAAAAACATCTCTCAGAATGGTAATATCCCCCTTCCTTTTAGTTATAAGAAACATATTTTATAAAAATACTTAAGATTCCTAGGTTTTCAACAAATGTAAAATTAGAAAAATACAACGTACTATTCTGATAAACTTACATAGTTATTTTAAATTATTGCACTCTTAATTAGATACTGGAAAGATAGAAAAACAGTAGAGAAGAAAGACAAAAGTAAAAATCACCCAGAGGGTTACATTACAATTTAGAAATGATTAGTGCTATATATTTAGAAGAGTAACACTTAAGAGTCTTAGAGCATTTCTATCTGTGGGTTGTGAATTGCATCAGGGTACTTTCACACAGTTGATTACAAAAAAACACAGTTGATCACAAAAAGGAACAAATTCGGAACAGTCTTGAAACACCCCAGAGATAAGAGATTTTGAATTGTCAGATTATGATAAACCTAAATAATACTGTAATATGAAATGATATAGTATAAGAATTGATAAATGTATTTTAAAGTTAGAGCCTGAAACTACAATTATTCTTTCTTGTACTGATTTTCACAACCAAAACAAGCTAAAACCAGTTTTTGAATTTATCTCTACTGAATAGAAGCTTAATTTAATAGTAAAATGTACACATTGATAACCAAGAGAATAAGTTGTATAATAATTATAAGAATGATACTTATTTTGAAATGCAAATTGTCCCCAGAAATTGCAAATGAGCTCTAACAACCCATCTTACCTCTCATGATCTACTAAATATTTACATATTAGTATTATTTTAACACAAGATTTTTAGAGTGATAGACACTAAATCACTCTTTCTGTTAAGTAATCATGTGATTAAACTTTGCCTAAAAATTCTTACTTATTCTTTGTTAATAGCAGTTTTTCACTTACATTTGTGGACTACAAAGTATGTTTGTTATTGATGAAATATACCAGGCACTTGATAAATGATAACTAAGATAATCTCTAATCAATTACACTTTTACCAAAAATTTTTCCAAATGGTTATCAAAGTCAGAATCCAGATACTTTATAGGATTTTGTTTTCATATACTCTAAACCATGATCTTAAAAGACTAACATACTTAATATGCTATTAAGTCATACCACACCCCTCTTAATCCCCAGAGATAATGGTAAATAGTTTAATTACTAGCAAAATGCTTTTTTATGTGATTTATTTTGCCACAGCCATGATATCGAATTTTCTCCTGCTATTGTGTCTAATAATTATATTGTCAGAACTCATTTCATATAAATTCAGTAGTGGACAAAAAAGTAGTAAGTGATTAATTTGTTAAAGGTCTGTGCTCTCTCAATACATCTCTTTGAAGTGGTAAAAAGTGTATATGAAAGAAAGTAAGTGAAAGCAAGAGATTAGTGTTTTATTCTTTTGGTCACCACCTTAGTAGGTGATTTTGGACATATTTCTTAAAATTTGCACTCCGCTTTCTTTAACTAGAAAATAAGTGAGTTGGATATGATGCTTTTCGAAGTTCAAGTATTCAATGAGCCCTGATTTAAAAAACATCATAGAAATATCTAATCAAAATATCCGGCCAATGTAATTTCAAAACACTTTCTTGGGTTGTTCACATGTTGAAATAATAATATCTCTTCATATACGAAGGTAATATAAACAGCAGACTTGCTTATTTTATTTTATTTTATTTTATTCAGAGTATATACCTGGGTTCAAAACATAAGTCTTAAAGAAAAAAGACTAAATTCTATACCTTAAAATGCATTCCATTTAACTTTTATTTAGTATATATTTTATTCACTTTCCTGTTGTGGCACACATTTTCAGGCTTACTACTCTGGAAACAATCTGAAATTGAAAATCAGTTTTAATAGGCAGTTCGTCCAGTCTTTGTATTTGTAATTCCAGTGATCACCGCTATGTGTCAGTAGGACATACTGTGGCTTATGTTTTCTATAAGTTTTGTTTTTGTAATTTCACATATTTAAGACTTTTTAATGCACAGAAGTTATTTACTAAGTACTGTAGTCACTTAGATCCCAAATCAAGTGCTGTGAGAAAGTTAATTTCATTCGCTTCCAGCCTAGCTGTTTCTAAGAGCTCTCTCACAGAGCAAAACAGTGCCATTTTTGTTTGTGTCTTCCAATGAGTCCTTTATTTGCTCTCTACAATAAATTTTTCTGTTTTTATTTTCACAGAGCAGGGTTAAACAAGCTTTGGCTTTGGATTTTTTCTGCATTTCCATGCTCTTTTTTTTTTGTACCGGGGGTTGAACTCGGGTCCTTGCGCTTGCAAGGCAGGCCACCAAACCGCTGAGCTAAATCCCCTGCCCCTCCATGCTCTTTTAGCCTAATTCAAATTTACATTGGCATAAATGTTTCACCCAAGTGATTCTCAAAGGCATTCTTAACTAGAGATGTCAAGGGACTTGCATCTCATGTGTCAGCCATGATATGTTATAGTGGCTCCATAGATCATAGGATTAGTAACGTATGTCAAGGGTTTAGGGTTGGGAAGTTGTAACATACATGCCAGATCTTTTTTAGACCTATTCTTTTCTGATTATAAGTATTTAGGGAGGAAAGGGGAAGAATAAAAACAAATTTTAGAAATACATGGGATACAAGCATCTGGGTATCCAAGAACCTAAACCCTTATTCTGTATCTCCAAGTATGGTAACAACAAATCTTTGAGAGGCCTGATAATATTTTATGCAAGCCTAATAAAAACAGAGAGTTTACAAATGCAATAAGAGCAATATTTTTCATATGTGAGCTTCATGCTGCTGAATACCAAAGCTACACTGGTCTTTAGTTTTGATTTGTATTACTGGAGATTGAATCCAGGAACTGCTGAGCTGCATCCCCAGCCCTTTTTAGTTTTTATTTTGAGCCTTGCTAAGTTGCCCAGGCTGGCCTTGAACTTGTGATACTCCTGCCTCAGCCTCTTGAGTAGATGGGATTACAGGTATGTTCCATCAAGGCAACCCTTCTCTGAGTAGTTTAACTGAAGATTATAGTTGGAATCATTACTGACTTGGAGTTCAGAAATAGGCAACAACTTCAGCATAATTAATGGCTAGGCAATGATACTGGATAATACAAAACAATTGATACAAAAAGAGATTTCCAGAACTAGCTCAGACAGTATAGTGAACTGTATGGCACAGATGTGCAGAGTCACAGTAGCACCTTCTAAGGTTGAGATCTGAAAAAAGAGAATAATTTGTTTTTACCTCATTGGAAACACCAGAATAGTAGCACCTTCTAAGTAGCAACCTTCTAAGGTTGAGATCTGAAAAAAGAGAATAATTTGTTTTTACCTCATTGGAAACACCAGAAGAATGATCTTGAACATAGTCCAGAGCCTTTTTAGGAGGCTGAATGTAGATGCACCACATAAGCAGAGTGTAGAGATGGAATGGAGGAGAATCAATGGCAGCAAGGAATGACATGTGGAAAAGTGACAACAGTTTAACAGTTAGAAACTAAGCGCTGACAGCACCAGATACACACAGAGTGACATGAATGGAGCAAAATGGGGTAGCCTAGGAGGAAGCGTGCAATGTTGTAAATATTCTCAAGCACTGAGCAAAAATTGCTCATGTTCCATTAGTATATTTATAAACTCATTTCTCAAATCAAAATTAGCAGTCCTAATCTTTGGCCACAGAGGTATGCAAGGCCTATTAGAGACATACAAAGGAGCAAGCGGATATAGCATGCTGGTGAGTTTCCGCTGTGTGGCTGAAAATGATTATAGAAAATGCTGACAATTTACACTCATTACTGAAATTGGTATGGTCCCTGTAAACTCTCTAATTAATAATAAAGCAGTACATATAAAATAAGGCTAGGGATTCTTTTTCCTCCGAAATAAAATGCCTTTATACTAATACTACAGAGCAAATTAGAAAAAGATGAGAGAAAATATTTTTCCTAGTAGGTAATAGAAATGCTAGAAAAATTATTTGGTTTATATTCATTTACAGTCACATTTGATTAAGTTCAATAAAATATAACTAATCTAACCTAATCTACTTTGCGTTTTAGTGGATAAAAGGGAATACCAAAACCACCTAATATGTAACGTGTGTTCAGTGTACAAGTATGTAAATCTGGATATGATATGGTAAAAGAAAGATCATGTTTTCTGGTATCTAATAAAAACGGTTGTGTTATGTAATTGGCATGTAACATGAGTTTAAAATTCATAAAGCATGTGACTGACACATTTAATGCATTGCTGTTGGTAGATACAATTCCTAAATAAAACTCTAATTATTAAAGGAGGATGTTATTTGAAGCTTGAGACAACTCTGTATCCCCAACAAGGGGGGTACCTCTATTGAGGGGTTGGGGATTATTAGAGATGTGGTGGCAGCTTTCCAACCGAATAAGGAATAATGTTCCTTTCTTTACATTCCTATGGGTAATATTTTGGTAGGATATTACAGCACATAACTGTCAAAACTGCCCAGAAATTTTTTGGTATTTGTTTCGACAGGCCTGGGTTTAACTTCTGACTCTGCCTCTTACTGTTTTGGGCAAATTCTCTGATTTCTTCTTATCCGAGGGGCTTCAGGAGGAATCACAGTTCATGGGTACAGAACCCAGCACTCTCCAGGAGCTTGGTGGTTTCTCAGCAAATGAGGGCTACAGTAATATGATGAGTATTATTATAAATGCCAAGGTAGGTGCTCTTGTTTGAACTTAACCAAAATGAATTGTAAACAAATACAAATCTATCAAGCTAAACAGTTGCCCACATATTTCAGAGTAGAAATTACAACATGCCAAATTTGCAATTAATTATGTATAAAGCAACCCTAATGCATGATTTGGGGAGAAAAACCATGTAGAAGGGTCTGAGCACATTAAAGCAGTGGTGTGGAAGTGAATGCGGTTAAGGCAAACCACATCTCAGCGGGTGTTACACGTTCAAGTCTGGTTCGATACGTGACACCTCTCTCCTGTGATCATAGTTATGTGTTATAAATCAAACATTCTCCTAATTTGTTTTATAGTAATAGTCTAGCCTCACTTACCGGGCGTCCAAACTCCAGTTCTGAAAAGAATTTATACCAGGGCTCATTTTCTAAATCTATGTCATCTGGATTTATGCGATCAGTCTAGAGCAGATGTGAAGGAAAAGGGAGGGAAAAGGCACACTGAGCGAAGTGAGGGAAACGCTGTGTGGCACGAAAAACGCGCGCGCATCCACACGCAAACATGCATGACTCGCGTCCAACTCTCAGCAGCAGAGAACGGAGGAGGTAAAGTAAAACAAGTACAATCAGGGTATGAAGGTGAGCGTCCACGGCAACGAGGTCCACCATTTTTTTCTAACGCTCTCCCCAAGGCCCGGAAAACTCCTAATGGCTGTGACCCTGGGGAAGGGGGGGGCGCTCCTATGTGGCACCATCGTCCCTGTCCTCAAAGGTGACTGGTAGGCCCAGCACGTGGGTCCGCAGCCTGCAGACGGTTCCCTTGGGAGCAGGCAGTTGGAGAGCCTGGGGCAGGGCTGGGGCCGGGAAAAGGTGAGCAGAGCTAGGAGGACGCGCCGGGTGGGGTTCGAGGCTCTGGAGGCGCCTGGGGCGCAGCGAGGAGCCCAGGGCGCAGGGAGGTGCAGAGTAGCCAGCCTCTGACTGCGCCTTCTCCGCCGCTGAGGATCTAGGGCGAGCCCTGAGGTTCCCGACCGGCATTAGACAGTTGAAGAAGGAAGGAGCTCACCCGGATGGGAGAGGGTGCCGGGGCGCCACTCCGGGGCGGAGGGGAGGGACTACGCGCGGCTTCTCCGTGGGGCGAGGAGGAAAGAGGCTTCGGGCCAGGTGCCGTCGGAGCAGGTGTCGGAGTTGTGGGGAGAGGGGGCTGTAAGAGAGAGGGTGAAGCACACACTGATTCATTAAGTAAGGGTTCCTGAAGGAACAGAGGACCCCGGCCAACAGTGCGTTGCGTCCTGGACTAGAGCAGCGGAGAGGAAACGTCTCAGGAGGGCGCAGTGGCCCGCTGTGTCGACCGGACACCACACGGGTGGGGACCACAGAGGGGTTGCTGGATCCCTGTAAGGATGTGAAGGTCGGGAGTCTCTGGGAACTGTGAATAGAACTCTCCTCATGCCAGCTTCCAGCTAGAGTAAGGGGCCTGGGGAGAGGCAGGTTTTCACAGCACTTGCTGTGGATGGGGAATGCGAGGGAGTGGGGACAAAATCCCACCTTGGTTTCCTTAACATTCTGATTTAGAGAAAAAGCCACTTTTTACAATTCAACTTGCTCCCCGCTGATGGTTTCTGAACATTGCATTTAAGATGGAAAAACTAGGACTGTTAAACAGTTTGAGGAAAATCATATAATTACATTTTAGAAAACAGACTCAGACTGTTTACTTAACACACCGATATACACTTAATGTTTTCAAATAATACATGTCTGACTGGGTGGACTCAGACTGTAGATTTTGTATTAAAGCTGGATATTTAAAGTACTGCACGAGTATTACTACTTCTTTATAATTATCAAATGACACTAATTAAATGGGGAACAGTTGGTTAGTAGAGAATATTAAGTCAGAAAAAATTCTAAGAAAAGTTATTTGGTTTCTTAGAAGCCGGAAGAGCTGTGACACCCAGGACTCATCCCAGGAAGGCTCCTAAGTGCTCACTGCTTCAAAGCAGTTTGCTTACAGTTTTTAAGGGCGCTCAAGGCCTTCCACCGAGTAGCTACAACTTAGTTCTAAAGAAATGCTCTGTAAGGTTGGTAATGTGGGGAGCTTGGAAAAATTCCACATTCCCACACAAGTCACTGTCCTGCCATGTACTTGTTCTAGTGTTTTATCAACCTGTGGCACTTACAAGGGTTTTGTTAAGAATACCATTGACATTGACAATAAATTATATCTATCTAACTTGTTTTTAGTGATGTGATTTTGTTTCAACATTTTTAAAATAAAAGATTGGGACAGTAATTACATACAATGATAGAAAAGTTTGAGAGATCATAACAAAATTGTGCAAGGGCCATGTTGTCCAACATATATGAAGCGATTATAGTTATGACGGCTGTGTAGTTACGCTGGCAAACATTCATGATGGGATGCCAGGCAATAAAAACAATGTGAGCATGGGTTTATACAGTATTTCTGATGACATTCTAGAGCTGGTGTTTGGATGAACACAGTAAAGAAATGCACCCATGTTCACAGCAGCACAGTTTGTAATAGCTAAAACTTGGAAGCAGCCCAATTGCCCATCAACAGGAGACTGGGTAAAGAAAATGGTGGCTTTCATCGCTTCTCGGCCTTTTGGCTAAGATCAAGTGAAAATGGTGGCTTTCAAAATAAAATGGAGAACTACTCAGCCATAAAAATGAGAAATTAGAGACATTTATAGCCAAATGGATGCACCTTGAGGCCATACTCTTAAGTGAAATAAATGGGACACAGGTGTGTAAATACTGAATAGTTTCTCTGGTGTGAGAAACTGAAAGTGTAAATAAGGACTAAAAGGTATAATAGATAAGGTGAGATGGGAAGAAAAGGGGCAAAAAAAAAAAGGGGAAATAGGAGGGGTAGGGGAAAGGAAGAAGGGAAGGGAATTAATATGAGAAAATGAAAGATAATGGAAACAAAATCTTCATAGATAGGGAGGGTGGGAGGGGCTGAAGGGAGGGCAGGGGGATGGGGAAAATTGAGAACCAGGATTGATTATGTAAATGTACAAATTTCCAACGATGAATGTCATTATACTGTATACCTTAAATGTACCCCCC